TGGCTCTGCCTCCCGAGTGCTGGGATTAAAGGTGTGCGCCGCCGCCACCGCCCGGCTTAACTTTTTTTCTGTTTTGAATACAACAGTTTGTAACTTAGCCAAGCCTGTACCTGATACTAACATCCTTCTGTCGTTGGCTTCATATTTATCATTAGCTAAAACCTAAGAAACTAGAAATGTCAAATATTAATAGTGCACGCACACGTATGTGGTTTTTACTGCTTACATTTGGTTGATGGAGTTCACAGTGGCTCTCTAGTGAACTTAATGAGAGTCGCTGTGTCTGAAGGTGCACCACATGTGTGCAGGTGCCTGTGGAAGCAGAAGGTGTGGGATCCCTGTAACTGGAGTTGCTAGTGCTTGTGAGCCACCTGATGGGTTTGGGGAACCAAACTGGGGTCCTCAGGGAGAACAGGAAGCATTCTGAAGCCCTGAGCCATCTCTTCCCTCCTACTTCTGTTTCTTTTCTTTCCTTTTTTTCTTCTTGTTTTTGTTTTTGTTTTTTTGAGACAGGGTTTCTCTGTAGCTTTGGATCCTGTCCTGGCTCTCTCTCTGTAGACCAGGCTGGCCTCAAAATCACAGAGATCCATCTGCCTCTGCCTCCCCAATGCTGGGATTAAAGAGGTACACCACCGCCTAGCTAAAGTATGGGCTTTTATTTTGTTTTTATTTCCAAGACAGGGTTTCTGTGTGTAACAGCCTCCTTTTTCTGGAGGGTAATTGGGATTGAACCCAGGGCCTTTCACATGCAAAGTATGTGCTCTACCACTGTGCCACATCCCCAGCCCCTAATTCTATTTCTCAATGGGAGGATTTGACATGCCCACAATTAAGGAAAATCTGAAATTTGTTTTGGTGTTCTGGGAAACATTTGGTACCCAAATCTTTGACAAACAGGCAGTTGGTGGTAGAGTGAAGCAGCCAAAGGCGTCTCAGAACTCTGGGAACCGGGTTGGCATCTCCATCAGCTGTCGATAGGCTTGACCAACACATAAATCCTAACTCCTGATTGTTTTTGTTAGCCCGAAGAGTATGGAAAAACTACCTTCCTGCTATCAACGGCATCGTATTTCTTGTGGATTGTGCAGACCATGAAAGGCTGTTAGAATCAAAAGAAGAACTTGATGTAAGTTGAACACTTCACACTAAACACAGTGAACTCCCTCTGGGCAGCCTGAGGAATAGGTGCAGACTGAGCTGTCGGAGGAGCTTTCCTGCAGTGTCTTGGCAAACTCCTAGCTCTGTTGGACTCTTCGATGGTTTTCACTGGGGATGACTCTGTTTAGAACAGAGGGAGTAGACTACAGTAGCTCTTATTAGTGAAGAAGTGCTAACACCCTTCTGAAGACTGAGTTCATCCTCTCCAGAGTGTGCCCCGCATGTGTGTGCATGCCTGCTCACTCCTGAAGCCATGTGTGTGCATGCCTGCTCACTCCTGAAGC